ATATATATATATATATATATATATATGTATGTATGTATGTATATATGTATGTATGTATGTATGTATGTATGTATGTGTGTGTGTGTGTGTGTGTGTGTGTGTGTGTGTGTGTGCGTGCGTGTGTCAGAGTCAGAGATTCTTTATTGTCATTCACACCTCATGTGGTGGAGCGAAATTATGTACACAGGGTCCCAGTTACATCCAAGAACAAAATGTAAAAGAAAACAATGATAAAATCCAAGATATTAACTAAGAACAACATCAACTAAATATACACTAAGCACTAATAACATAAAAACATCACGTCGAACATCAGCACAAACCTGAACATGAGCCTGTGTGAGCTGATGAGCACGCATGAACGCATCAACATTGAAACAGATCAGCAGCAACATGATGTGATTTTTTCACAGTGATTATTCTGGTTAGATATTCATGAGTCTAACAGCCTCAGGGTAGAAGCTGTTCCTCAGTCTAGTGGTTCTACACATGTGTGTATATATATTATATATATTTATTTATTTATTTATTTATTTATTTTTCGGCTGCTCCCTGCGTTAGGGGTCGCCGCAGCGAACTAAGTCGCACGAAGACGTGACAGTTATTTTTACGCCGGATGCCCTTCCTGACGCAACCACAGACCACCGAGCTACCACAGCCCTCTGTGTGGAGCAGAAATCTGCTATCTAGGACACCCGGAGGAGCAGATAGTAGGGGTTAAGGGCCTTGCTCAAGGGCCCAGAGTGGGACGAATGAGGGTGGGGGCAGGTGTGGGTGCTTCACCTACCCCACCCACATTTTTGATGTTGTCAGTACCGGGGCTTGAACCGGCGATCTTCCGATCACAGGCCCACCTTCTCTAACCTCTGCGCCACCACTCCCCGATTGGCAGAACTATATATAAAGTGAAAAAATGTGAAATAGGGATACAGTAGTAGTAGCTTATTTTAGTATTTATATATATTTGAAGGTGTTATAAACCATTCCCACACTCTTTCTAAACAATGTTTCTAAACTGAACGCTCTCAAAGAGCACAGCATGTCATGATTTCAGCTCTCTGCCTCCTGCTGCATTTTGCCACCTGCAAGTGCTTTTGGCCACGCCCACTTCTCTGGTGCAGAACGGTGATATGACACGTTTCAGAAGGAAGCTTTTCCTGCAGTGTGGGCTGCACATAGGTGCAGCAGGTGCTAAATAATTCAAAATAATTTATTTTAAATAAAAATCCATGCCAATTGTGCATCCGTCAGTCAGCCAATTGTGTGTCATGTCCTATCTTATTTTGAAAAACCGTGATAAACGAAGCGTGAAGTAGCGAGGGATATATATATATATATATATATATATATATATATATATAATAATTGACTGTATATATAATAAGACTGTGTATATATAATAATGTATAAATGTAATATAATTATAATAATTGACTGTATATATAATAATTTAACAGATCTGGAACCAAATAAGACCTAGTTTGGTTCCAGATCCAGACTGTGGTTGACCTTATGGGTACAACAAAATGTGTATATAATAATAGAACTGTTAGTTTGATAGCATCAAGACAAACAAACTTGTTGTTGTTACATTTTGTACTAAAGGTAATAATAAATTTAATATTGTGTTTCTGTAGGTGTAAGAAGAATAACGTCTGGAAGTGGGCGGTCCAAAACACCAACAGCTGAGATTGAAAAATATGCCTACAGAACTCCTGTTACACCTCTGCAAAAGGTGCGACTCAGACTGACAAATTCTGTTGTTTAAACACGACATACCAGCCGGTCAGAGACACAAGTCAAAATTCTCATTTCAGATTTACAAATGCTCAGCATCACTGTTGCTTTAGTGGGTTTTTTTTTAAGTGTAGTAAAAAAACGAGCCCCAAAAAAACTCTTTATGAGCATATTTCCACTAAGACTTTTGCCATGGACGATGTCTTTAATGACATATGAATGAATGAATGAATGAATGAATGAATGAATGAATGAATGAATAAAATTCAAACTCTGAAAACACATTTTAATTTGTTTAAATGTGCTGAAATACAGTTTGTAAACTTTGCCTTTTTTAGTTTTTGATGATTTGGCTTATAAATGCCTTTAAATAGCATTTGTAAATATTTTAGTTGCTTGTATAAATCTGAGACTTTGATAAAAATGTTTGTAATAAATAAATTTGTGATTATTTGATCAAACCGTTTCCTCAGCAGCTGCTGCCGACTGAAGACGAAAGCTACAGCGCAGAAAACCTGCGGCGTCTCGCTCACAGTCTGAGTGGAACCGTCATCGGGCTGAGACCACTGAACCCCCCACACTCTTGTGTAGGTCTCACTCACTCACTCACTCACTCACTCACTCACTCACTCACTCACTCACTCTCTCTCTCTCTCTCTCTCTCTCTCTCTCTCTCACTCACTCACTCACTCACTCACTCACTCACTCACTCACTCACTCACTCACTCACTCACTCACTCACTCACTCACTCACTCACTCACTCAGTCTTCAGATGCTCACTGCTGCCACCTGATGGTCGGGTATTTACTGCCGCTTGCTTTGTTTCCTGCATCAAACTGCAGCGACCCAGAGTTCCAGTTTAAAAAATAAAATGACAAAGATTTTTTTCAAGGAAACCAAAATAATTAGAAGTAAAAAAAACAACTAAAAAGGACAACTGAGCAGGTTAACATGGAGGTGATTTTTGGTTTCATCAACTGTAAATTAAAACAGTCAAAGGTCAGATGATTCACTAAAATATATCCAAACACTGTTTTTTCTAGGCTCATTTTCAGTGGTGAGCTCAGCTAACCAAAAAGTTCGCTTCACTAACCCTTATTCTGCTAACTAAAATATTAGCTTTGCTAATGCCAAACTACTAAACATGTAAAAAATATTAACAAAAGCTAACACTAAGCTGACTGTCACTCAGTCTGCTGCGTCACTCGTCTTTGTCTCCTTCCAGTTGAAGCTGTGTTGACCAGTCACGTCTCGTCACGTAGTAAGCTAATAACTGATTCTTCGAGATGCACCCACTACAGACAGGAACAAACTTGTGAATTTTGTTAACAGACTTAAAGTTGGTGAAACCGTTAGCAGAAACGCTAATCTGCTAAACAGATTTGTTCTGCTGTTAGCTGTTGGTGGATTAGCAGAACTGTGCCCACCACTGGTCATATGTTTAATAAGTCGTATCAAAATAAAATCTTCAACTATGAGCAGCAGAATGCTCTGATGTTGACAGGGGTTCATTTTTATTTAACTACAATGTTTGATGTAGCATATATGACATATGAACGATCCTTTCAGTTTAAAGATCAATTCTGAGCTCTGATACAATGGAGGTCACTGGTAGTGTGTGCACTCAGCACTCTGGGGCTTTGAGGGGAAACCACAAGAGCTAAAGCAGTGAGAGATGCACTGGGTGAGAGAAGGCAACAAAACATGTTTTCATATATAATTGGGGCAGCACGGTGGCACAACTTGTAGAGCTGCTGCCTCTCAGCAAGCAGGTTATCCTGGTTCAAACCCCGGTCCAGGGGCCTTTCTGGGTGGAGTTTGCATGTTCTCTCCGTGCATGCGTGGGTTTCCTCCGGGTGCTCCGGTTTCCTCCCACAGACCAAAAACATGCATGTTAGGCTGATTGGTAACTCTAAATTGTTCCTAGGTATGAGTGAGAGAGTGAATGGTTGTTTGTCTCGTTTGTCTCTATGTGGCCCTGTGATGGACTTGCGACCCGTCCAGGGTGTACCCCGCCCCTCGCACAGTGATTGCTGGACATGGGCACCGGCGACCCCCGTGACCCAAAATGGAATAAGCGGGTAAAGATGATGGATGGATGGATAGATGGATAGATGGATAGATGGATAGATGGATAGATATAATTAGGGCTGGATACCGTTCTAAAAAAATCTGTACCGGTGTCGGTACTTTCACTTTGGTGTCTGTTCCTGGACGGTTCTTTTTTCTGTACCAATTTTGTAATTAATATTAATTCTAACGAATAAAATTACGTTACACATTACAGTACAAATTGTGAGTTTTATTTTTTTACTTTGGTATTTCTATTCCAAGTAGTTTTCTTACATAAAAACAATCAAATAATTTCTAGGTCAAATGACCAGTTTCAAACCAGTGACACGTCGGTGTCTAATGCTCACTGCTACACACTGAGGACCTTTTCACTGAACAGTTTGTCTTCAGAAACATCATGTCTGCTTTCTCTGGACACAAACAAGCCCACTCCTGGCTGATGGTGTCTCCAGCAGTAGAACATGTTCAATCCAGGGGAACTTCTCCCGATGTCCACGCAATCTTGCAGAGTCGTGTAAGCCAACACAACCCTACAACGTCCAGAGCCTTAAGGAACTCTGGGCGAATCTCATCAACCCTCCGGGGCCCTGCCACCGAGGAACTTTTTAACCACCTCGGTGACCTCGGCACCAGAGATTAGAGGGCCCGACCCAGAGTCCCCAGGCTCTGCTTCCTCAGTGGAAGACATGCTGGTGGGATTGAGGAGGTCTTCAAAGTATTCTGCCCACCGACCCACGACATCCCGAGTTGAGGTCAGCAGTGCACCACTCCCACTATAAACAGTGTTGGTGGCGTACCGCTTTCCCCCCCTGAGACGCCGGATGGTGGACCAGGATCACCTCGAAGCCATACGGAAGTCATTCTCCATGGCCTCTCCAAACTCCTCCCATGCCCGAGTTTTTACCTCAGCAACCACCCGAGCCGCATGTCGCTTGGACTGCCGGTACCCATCAGCTGCTTCCGGGGTCCCACAGTCCAAAAAGGCCCTATAGGACTCCTTCTTCAGCCTGACAGCATCCCTCACCGCCGGTGTCCATCACCGGGTTCGAGGGTTGCCGCCACGACAGGCACCAACAACTTTGCGGCCGCAGCTCCGGTAAGCATCCTTGACAATAGAGGCACGGAACATGGCCCACTCTGACTCAATGTCCCCTACCTCCCCCGGAACACGTTCGAAGTTCTCCCAGAGGTGGGAGTTAAAGCTCTGTCTCACAGGAGACTCTGCCAGACGTTCCCAGCAGACCCTCACAACACGTTTGGGTCTGCCAGGTCTGACCGGCATCCTCCCCCACCATCAGAGCCAACTCACCACCAGGTAGTGATCAGTGGACAGCTCTGCCCCTCTCTTCACCCGAGTGTCCAAGACATGTGACCGCAGATCAGATGAGACGATGACAAAGTCGATCATCGAACTGCGGCCTAGGGTGTCCTGGTGCCAAGAGCACATATGGACACCCTTATGCTTGAGCATGGTGTTCGTTATTGACAATCCATGACAAGCACAGAAGTCCAACAACAGAACACCACACAGGTTCAGATCAGGGGGGCCATTCCTCCCAACCACACCCCTCCAGGTCTCACTGTCATTGCCCACATGAGCATTGAAGTCCCCCAGCAGAACAAGCGAGTCCCCAGGAGGTGCACTTTCCAGTACCCCCTCCAAGGACTCCAGAAAGGGTGGATAATCTGAACTGCCGTTTGGTGCATAAGCACAAACAACAGTCAGAACCCGTCCCCCCACACTAGGCAGAGGGAGGCCACCCTCTCATTCACCGCGGTGAACCCCAACACACAGGCACCAAGATGGGGGGCAATAAGTATGCCCACTCCTGCTCGGCGCCTCTCACCAGGGGTAACTCCAGAGTGGAAGAGTGTCCAGCCCCTCTCAAGAAAACTAGTTCCAGAACCAGAGCCATGCGTAGAGGTGAGTCCGACTATTTCTAGCCGGAACCTCTCAACCTCACACACCAGCTCAGGCTCCTTCCCCACCTGTGAGGTGACAATCCACGTCCCAATAGCCAGCTTCTGTAGCCGAGGATCAGATCACCAGGGTCCCCGCCCTCGGCCACCACCCATCCCACATTGCACCCGACCCCTTTGGCCCCTCCCACAGGTGGTGAGCCCATGGGAAGCGGGACCCACGTCTCCTCTTCGGGCTGTGCCCGGCCGAGTTCCATGGGTAAAAGCCCGGCCACCAGGCGCTCACCCGCGTGCCCCACCTCCATGCCTGGCTCCAGAGTGGGGCCCCGGTGACCCACGTCCGGGCAAGGGAACAACAAGTCCATTTATTTTATTCATCATAGGGGTCTTTGGGCTGCACTTTGTCTGGTCCCTCAACTAGGACCTGTCTTTTAGTTTATATGTGTATATATATGCATTTTAAACCCTTCCCACAGTCTTGCAATGTTCTAAACAACGTTTCTACACTCTGAAAGAGCACAGCATGTCATGATCTCCCCTCTCTCTGCCATTGTTCTCGGCCACGCCCACTTCTCCGCTGCAGAGCGGAGATCCTGACATGCTTCAGGAGGAAGCTTCTCCCTGCACCTTTGGGCTGCACACAGATGCAGCAGGTGCTAAATAATTTATAATAAATTGTTTTAAATAAAAAAATTCCATGCCGATCTTTCACCTCATCCATCATTCAGCCAATTGTGTCATGTCCAATCTTATTTTGAAAAACCGTGCAAGAGCGAGTCTGCGAAAGTTGAACTGCGAAGTAGCGAGGGACTACTGTACAGTCAAGAATCCTAACCTCTGTTCCTGATTGAGTTTCAAGTTGAGCCCTTTTTGTGTTTTATCAAATTATGCATCAACGCCTTCATTAAACGAGTTTTTGTCAGGATTTAAATGTCATGAGGACTCAAAGCTGAGATGATTTCTGGCAGCGCTGAGGTGAAATATTTGTCTTGTCCGTGTTAGAAGCAGCAGCTGCTTTCATCTCTGCTGCTTCCTTCAGCTCATATTCAGCCCCAGGAGTCGCCTCAGGCTGCCACATCAAACATTTATCAGCAGTTTAGTGTCTCTGTTAGACTTTAAGAGGAGAAACTGGCCTGATCCGAACCGATAGCTGAAACACTCATGTCTCTGTTTTGTTCTCATCAGGTCAGGATTATTGATAACTACGGTGGCCCAGAAAGCCCATAAACTGAACTCTATTAGAAACCAGTTTTTCATCACATTTTGTTTTGTGTGAATTTTGTTTTCCTTCATCACGTTAACCTTTTCATCTTCTTTTCACTCCATCCTTCCTCCACATCGTCCTGAAAGGACCCCTCCCTGTCTAGAGCCCCCATCAGACACTCAGACCTTCACTCCTCCTCACTCCCCCTGCGTCACCAAAGTACCTCCTCCTCCTTCACAAAAGATCACTCCTTCCCCCACCCCCGACACCACGGCCCCCCAGCTCCACTGCACCCACACTTGCAGCCATCACGGCCCCCCAGCTTGGGGCCCTCAACCTGGGGACGCTCAGGTAACCTGCCAACCTTTCACCTCCTTATTTGTCCTTCAGGAAGTCAGAAACGTTGTTTTTATTTTACATTTTATTGTTTTAGTTTGTTCTGAATTTGAATTTACAGCTTTTGAGTTGCTGGAGATTTTCTGCACAAACTTCCTGCTGGAATAAAAAACAAATCGTCAGAAAATAATCATTAAGGTGTAAAATTAACCTTCCTTGAAGACGTTCACGTTGCCCTCTGCTTTTTATGCCAGACTTTTAAACCACGATCATGTGATGTAGAAAAATGATGATCGCACGCTGCAGTGAGATTCTGACCAGTGTTTACACTCAGAGTATCTGAAAAGACTCCCAGCAACTAGCACACCAAATATCAGCTTAAATACTCCAGTACCTTCCGAGTGATGCTTTGTTTATTGTCAGCCATGATCTGAGTCATGGATCAGTCAGTGTGGAGAAAGAGGAGCCATCTTGATGCAGTCTGAGATCAGCTGCTTTCATGGTTTTGATTGACAGTTCAGGAAGAGATTTGTTGATCTTAATTTTACGTTTTTTTTCTTTATTTCTAACTCCTCCCTCTCTGCTCCTCTGTGTTTGTCTTCTCTCTCTGGATATCCTTTCCTCAGGACCTCCATGCCCCCCCCAGCAGCAGTTTCTGGTTGTGTCTGATAGGGGTCAGACCGCCTCAGGTCTCCGCAGTGTTGCCCTGAATTACGGCACTCTTCCTAGAGCTCCTTGCCGCACCCTGCCTCCCTCTGGAACCTCCTCCCTCCCCAGACCCAGAACTGGTCCTGCCACCCTGCCTGGTCCACAGAATGTCTACGCCACCCATGGCCCCCCTCACCACTCTATAAACACCTCCAGCACCAACGGGCACCATCAGGAAGTACGTCTGTCTAGTAGAGTCAATGGAGGGGCAGCGGAGCACTCCCGAGTGTCGGGGGACACTGTCCAGCCACGCCGCCTGGACGTCCCTCCTGAGACCGACTGGCGCCATGATGCTGCCGTCAGGGTGGGTCAGTCCAGGTGTGCTCCGCGTCAGCAGCCACTCCAGCAAACTAACAGAGGCCCTTACAGAGCCACTCAGCTCTGCTCGCTCTGCCTGCAGCTTCCCGTTGAGCCGTCCTGTCCGTACTGCCCGTCCTGCAGAGCTCACGTGGCCCGGATCCGTCTGAGCAGCAAACGGTGACATTTGTTCAGCTGCAGCGATGACTGTGGTGATCTACACTGAAACCAGAGCGATGACGGTGGTGATCTACACTGAAACCAGAGCGATGACTGTGGTGATCTACTCTGAAACCAGAGCGATGACTGTGGTGATCTACACTGAAACCAGAGGAGTTTTACCGCCTTCCCTCCTCTAATATCAGCCGGTCCAACATAACACACAGAACACGTCTTTGAACGTTTGCTACTTCAAAGCACATTCAGATTTCTTCTGAAGCTAAAACTGATCACAGAGCAGCTGATGAAAAGGAGCAGATTACAGAGCAGTTGATGAAGAGGAGCAGATTACAGAGCAGCTGATGAAGAGGAACATATTACAGAGAAGCTGATGAGGAGGAACAGATTACAGAGCAACTGATGAGGAACAGATTACAGAGCAACTGATGAGGAAGAACCGATTACAGAGCAACTGATGAGGAGGAACAGATTACAGAGCAACTGATGAGGAAGAACAGATTACAGAGCAACTGATGAGGAGGAACCGATTACAGAGCAACTGATGAGGAGGAACAGATTACAGAGCAACTGATGAGGAAGAACCGATTACAGAGCAACTGATGAGGAGGAACAGATTACAGAGCAGCTGATGAGGAGGAACAGATTACAGAGCAGCTGATGAGGAGGAACAGATTACAGAGCAACTGATGAGGAAGAACAGATTACAGAGCAGCTGATGAGGAAGAACAGATTACAGAGCAGCTGATGAGGAGGCTCAGAGCGACAGGAAGCTGCCGTCTGCTCACCTGACAGAACCTGGACTTCAGTTCAGGATCATTTTAGGAGCTGCAGCCATCAAACTGATTCGGTCACAAGAATCTCAAACTTTCTTTGTACATCAGTTTGAGTAAAGTTGCTGTTCGGAGTTTTTCAAGCTACTTATTAAAACTAGGATCTGATTGACTGAATGTTGATGACAAACTGAAGGTGGTGTTCATGAGGGAGTTTCCAAAATGTCTTGCAACCTTCACGAGGGTTCTTGTTTTCCTGATGTTTCAGGACCTTACTCTTGTGTCCCAGAACTTTAGAATGTATCCAAGATTTTTCTTTAAAACTAGTTGCAGAGTTTTATCTCTGAACATAATTTATTTTCTGCAAGTCTAAAGCTGTAGTGACCGCTGGTGATGGGCTACAGCTCCCCAGGGTCCTGAAACGATAGAATTAGGATGGATGGACAGAGAGAATGAGCGAGCTGTAGTTCAACATCTCCAAGGGAATTCTGCTTATGGCAAAAAAAACATCTCAGGCTCCAGATGTCCATGTCTAAAATCTGCACTGATGATAAACAGAAATGATTAACAATTCAATTTAGTTGATTTATATAGCGCCAAGTCACAACAGAAGTCATCTCAGGCCACTGAACAGGTTCAGATCTACCGGTTTTCATTTCAACAGTTTACTTCAGTGCATTAATTCATCATAAATGCAAGGTGGCTGCCAATGTGGGTACAGTATGTGTGAAGGATGGACAACAACATATTCTGTATTGGCCAGAATATGGTTTTGTGAACTCACCATAATTTTCAATAACTGGTCACACAAAATGTGGACATTCATTCAGTAACTTTATTTTGTTGCACTAACTAAAAGTCTTAGAGTCCCAGCCCAGTGAGATACTGGCTTAAAAAAAGTTAATTGAGACTCATTTGAATAAAGCTGGTATCTCACTGTGTTCCAACTTTTATGAACACTTTGGAGACACAAAATTGTGAGAAATTATGTAAACTTATATTTGACTCTCACTGAATGACATGCTTGATCTAAGTCCTAAAGAAATTTGGGCCTACATTTGTGTGAATTTGCATAGGTAATAAGATCCAGCTCCAGTGCTCTCCAGTAAAGAAGTCCAGTTCATCTGGGTTTGTTTCAGAGGTTTTTGATGACTGACTGATGAGAGGAAACTTGTTGCACAACGTTCTGAACTTGTTTAAAAGTGAAGCGGCAGACTGAGCTGTGGTTCATGTCCCAGCTACGGCTGCACACATTCTGAAACTCCCTCATACATGAAGTTCACCAACCTGTCTCAGTCGTGACAGCCCAGTGACAAAATGGTTTAAATAGTCAACCAGCAGCTTCCCCTTCCTTCCAGTACTAATCCTCCTGCAGACAGATGGATCACTGTTTCTGATAATCAGGAAACAACATAATTTTCTGAATAAAACAAAACCATTGTTGGGATGTATTTACCTTCATCATGATGAAAAGATGTGAAAGACCATAACAAGCTCACTTCTAGGCTGATGTGCTTAAAAATGTGTTCTTAAAAACCAAACTACAACTGCTGCTAGTGTTCAGAGACTACTTTAGGGTTGAATATTTTAAAAGAAACAAATTAGTTTTTTCTGCTGCAACACATATTAACCAAATGAATGAACTACTTCCTCAGAATTGTGTTTTTGACCCATTCATTCAAATCAGGTGTGATGAAGCAGGAAATGCTGGAAATCTGCAGAACTGTGGCCCTGACAGAGTTGACGACCCCTGCTGTGTACATAAATCTGTACTACTTTACATCGATTCACATATTTAAATAATTGGCTTCTTGGTTGGTTTCTTAAACAAGCCACGTATAATAAAGATTAGACAGATATGGGATGTGGAAGTTGAAGCTAAATGGTAGTCTGAATGGAAGTTGAAGAGTGCCCCCTGTAGGCTGGCTCTAGTTTCAGTTCTTGTATACAAATGGAATCTAAAAAAATACGCCTCAGATAATTTTTTTACATGAGCTGAGTTCTAAAAATTGATCTTATCTTCAATTCAATTTATTTATATAGTGCCAAGTCACAGCAGAAGTTGTCTCAGGGCACTGAGAGGAGCAGACTGCTTTGAATTTAGCTCCATTGCAGAACTCTCATCTTGAGCAAGCATGAAGGTGACAGTGGAAAGGAAAAACTCCCTCGTGAGGAAGAAACCTTTAGCAGAACCAGACTCAGGACAAGCGGCTATCTGCTTTGACTGGCTGGGTTTGAGAGGAATAGATACACAATGGCAGGTCAAGAATCACATGTTAAGATAGAATTAGTATCAAATGAAAACTATTCAGTTTTAACAATTCATTTAAGGAAATTAGGTCAATTTGTCCTCCAGTATTCTAAGCCTATGGCTGCACAACAAGCCAACCCTAACTATAGGATTTATCAAAAAGGAAAGTCTTAAGCCCAGTCCAAACTGGACAATGTGTCAGCCTCACGGACAGAAACTGGAAGTTGGTTCCACAAGAGAGGAGCCTGAAAACTGAAAGCTCTTCTTCCCATTCCGCTTTTGGAAACTCTAGGAACCACAAGTAAACCTGCAGTTTGAGAGTGAAGTGCTCTGTTAGGAAAATATGGAACAATAAGATCTAGAATATAAAATGGAGCTACGTTGTTGAGAGCTTTGTAGCTGTTGAACTTTCAAACATTCATTATGAATTGGGAGCCCCCCACCCCCCCGTCCTACAAATATCTACAAATGAATGATCCAAGACCATTCACATGCAGTGAACACTGATGGCGGGAAAATAAACTTGATTTAGAAATTTTGCAAAAGTTTAAATGGAAAAGTTGAAGCACATAAAGCCTAAAATCTCCTCATTAATGATAAAAAAAGACTTTACATGAGTTTTTATTAACCAGACCAGGACATTTTGTGTAGTCTGTTTCAGATTATATCTGTTAAAACACAAAAGCTGTGAAGTACAGTTTTTTGTGTTTCCTGACACAGCAGAGACTCCTGGTTGGGGTTCAAGCAGATGTAAGAAAACCAACGTTCATTCAGTGTTTGTATAATGTGAGGCAGCTGTTTGTGGTTTGATCACCTCTGACAGGTGAACATTTAAAATGTGTATATTTACATTCAGTTTACAGTGGAAGCTGATCTTTGAAACACAAGAAAGAATAATGAAACATAAAAAAACCCCAGTAGAGAACGTCCACAAAGTCCACTCTCTTCATCGCTCTGAACAGCGTTCTGCTGTTTCTGCTGTCAGGAACTGATCCAACAGCAGTCCTCACAGCTGCATGAAATGATGGAGTAGAAGAAGAAAATGGACTTCCTGTGCACAGTTTGAGTAGAAATGTGTTTGTTTGTCGCCTCGTAGATGACCTCAGCTGAACTCTAACGTAGAGCTCGTCAGATGTTCTCGTCTTGTTTGGGATGTGCAGCCTTCTTTAGATTTGAACTGAAGCTTTTCTTTAACAGTCGCAGCTAATATTTAGCATGTTTATCCTAACCTCGGTGTATTCTAACGCAGATCTTAGCGCAGTGACTCCACTGCATCCAGCATTGTGCACTTCAGAAGTGTTGATGGTACATTTATTTCTTTTTGCTTTCTGCTTTTGTTCTTTTCTTCTGATCTCTCGTTTGTTCCGGGAGCAGCTTCTAGCTAAATGATGAATGAACTCTGATATAAATTCATAAACTTTCTGCTCAGACTCTGCCCGCCTCCAGGCGAGCTGAAATAACTGGTCCCAGGTCTGATCTGAAGCCTGAAGGTTTAAAACACAAACTTTATATCAGTTAAAGTTTCAGCTTCAGATCAGAACTGAGGACAAACAAACAAAGAGAAGAGATTTTTTCCATAATTCAGAGTTCAGTCTGCCAGATGTTCAGTTGAGTTTATTTTTGATGCATATTTTTCTACACTGTAAACTTAACAGAGACGATGAGAATAAAATGTTTAAAGCTTGAAGTGACTCGGGTGATGACTGGACTTTGTTTTCATCTTTGTCTTGGTTTTCCTCCATTTTTCACATAAAAAATCTCAAAGTGGACAAACATTTGTATTCCCTGACTTTAACACCCTCCCCAAATATCTTGAAAATTATATTAAGTTTAAAGAAGACAAGCATTTGTCAAAAATGTTTGTATATAAAAGAAAAACAGTATGGTGATAACACAACAACCTTTAGACCACATTTCTATTCTGGCTCTCGATCAAGGCGGACGCTCCTGCTCTCCCTCCCCCTGTTCTCCTCTTCCTCCTGTTTTGCTCTCTTGTGTGTTTGAAGCTCCTGGTACACATCTCCCCAATGAAAAATATGATTATGGATCTGGTGAGCTGGACTTTCAATGAAATCGACAAAATCTTTTCAACAAAATGACAGGGTCCTGGAGAACCCTCTTGTCCGGCTGAGACTCATGCTGCAGGGTGCGTCAGATCCGTGGGGAGTTTGGCAGCTGATGTGCCTCTCAGTTCTGTCTCAGGAGGACGCTGGAGACATTTTATATATTTGGATTTATGATAGCAGGGGTTCTGCTCTTTGGCATCAGCGGGGCTCTGTTTTATCGACTTTTGAAGAAGACATCAGCAGCAGTTTTGGCCATGACAAGCCTTAAAGGTTTGGTTCATGCTATGAGGACTAAAAATCATCTGATTTATGAGCTAAACCATAACATGGAGGTGATTTGTGAGAATCGCAGGCCACCTGCGTCTCCTAGGACTCAACAGCATATTGGGATCAATCTTGAAGAAGGCTCATAACGTGGATCAGTGGATTGTCCATAAATCTGGACATTTTGGACCGGAAATTTCCAGCAGGACTCGAGGCTGACCAGAAAAAACAAGTCTGCCTGAAGAAAACCAGCAATTTTGCCTTATCTGAATCTGACTTCTCTGTTTGGCCTCGGATACAAGTCGTCTATCAAATTTCTCCTGGGACATGGGTAACTAGGGATGAAAACTTTGTCTATCGCACCACCACCCCCTCTGAGAACTTATGTGCAGGCTTATCAGAACTGCTGGCTGAACAACAACATCAGAACTGTGACCTATCTGAAAGTGCATGGACAAATCTCAACGTCTTGACGTCAAATGTATATGTAATCATGTTTATAAATGTTCTTGCTGGTAGAGTTGTTTGATGTCTCAAATCATGTTCTGATAGGACAAGATGTTAATGGATATTTTTGTAATACCACTATTTATCCTCATGGTTCTTCTCTTTTTCTATCTAAAAGTATTCTGATAAAGAATAAAGGGCTGCGCTTTTTAGTTTCAGCAACGTGCACTCCATCCATCTTTCGGATGACTGTACAAACATACTCTCACTGTATTTCGGTACAATGATAATAAAGCTTATTCTAATTCTGATATAGGCAACATATGACCCAAGTTCCAGAAGTGGACCTTAGAATGTTCTCCATTCCCCACCCCCAATTTCCTAAACACTCAGCTCTTGTGAGGAAAACTAAGCCATACATTAATTTTATTTTCAAAAAAATGTATCTAAAAACATGACCATTCCTGACAAAGTCAGGAAAAAATGTCATTCTAAAATTGTTTTGTTTTTTGAGAACGGTTTTAAATGTTCCCATAACCTCATTAACATTACTGCTCTCTGGTGTTTCATGGGGGAAACATCCATCCGTCCATCATCTTTTACCCGCTCCTTCCTTCGTTCACTCTCTCACTCTCACCTATAGGGACAATTTAGAGTTACCAATCAGCCTAACATGCATGTTTCTGGTCTGTGGGAGGAAACGGGTACCTGGAGAAAAGCCACACCTGAATGGAGAGAACATGCAAACTCCACCCAGAAAGACCCCCAGCTGGGATTCAATCCAGCAACCTTCTCGCTGAGAGGCAGCAGCTCTTCCAACTGAGCCACTGTGCCGCCCCAATATTTTTCATTTATTTAAACAATCATTTTAGTAATGTTTTTATTTTATTTTACCTTTTCCTCTCTACTTGTGATCTGCTGTAACGTCCCCAAAAGCGTCCATCACAGCTTCATGTTCATGTGCTGCTCCAGCTCTCATGTTGTCTAATTAAATGGTTTTAGTTCAGATCCAAAAAAGTTCAATCTGGTCCTCTGGACATTCAAAAAAACAAAATTTTTTGAATGTCCAGAGGACCAGATTGAACTTCTTTAGATTTTTCTACCTGGATTATTGAGCATGTATCAGGATATTTTAGTTCAGATGTGAAGAGCTAAAACACTTGCAATGTACACAAGTACATTTAGTGCAAAAAAGCTGTTCCATCTGATGTGGGCTAAGAAATGAAGTTTTGGGTGCAGAATGACCGACTCCTGCTGGTTTGGCAAAAACCAGGCTGCATCGTGCTGCTGCAGCTCAGTAAAAGTAAAACAAGAAACACAAACTTGTGTTTTAGAACTCATGTTTAAGTTTACATTGATTTGGGGTAAACAGAGACTGATTTTTCCTCTCTAAGAGAGAGGTGGTGCCCACACAACGAGGTTATTTGCATAATACGTGCATATCTTATGAGCTTAACTCATAACTGATCATTAACAATATATATCCAGCCCCATATCACTCTACACTGATGGACTGGAGACCTGTCCAGGGTGCCCCCCGCCTCTCACACAGTGATGGCTGGACATGGGCACCAGTGACCCCTGCAACCTGAAAAGGAAGAAGCGAGTAAAGATGATGGATGGATTTTAAGAATCTCAAAAATTAACTGCACAAAATTAAGAACAAAGCAAAAAGTCAGTATTGGATGCCTGTGAGCATCAGGAACCTCTGGATAAAAACAGGTTTGATTCTGGTGTGGACATCATGGGCTCAGGAACACTTCCACAAACATCGTCTGTAAACACTTTTACACAGTGCCCAGGGATTGCTGGAGATGGGAGGGAAAGATGGATGATTGTGTTTTTATTTATATTTTACACAACACTCCAATTTTTTTGGACTTGGTTGTAAAAACAGCATTATATTACTCAGGAATTTGATCAGAAAAAGTATTTGTTCTTACAGGGTTTTTTTGTTTTTAAATTTACATGGGGCAAACTGCGTCACCGTGAACATTTTGTTTTTGTACTGAAATTACTGACCGGAAGTGGTAAATTACAGCCGTCGTATTTTGAAAGAGCTGACCGGATGTGGTTAGCCGTTGCACTGCTAGCTTGTCGTAAATGACATCATGCAGCGCGCGGTGTGTCTCGGTCTGCGACATGGCTCCTCCGAGGTGTAGCGGTCACTCAGGAGGTTTATTTAAACCCCCCCGAGAAGCTCCACTCGGTGAGAACGACTCGTTCAACCCGCTGGCTCCCCCCGCGGTGATCCAGACTGCTTTAGTCTGAGCTAACTGTTAGCTTCTGTCAGGTAACACGGCTCGGACCGAATGAGGACAGAATGACCTGTTACTCTGAGGGAAACATCCAAAATGTTCATTTGGCTCATTATAAAAGCTGCTGTCAGTCACTCTGTCCTGCTGGTTTTATCAGTGTTTGTTAACAAAGAAACCTAAACATTTTTCATATAATATAAGCTGTATATTATGTTTTTACTGTATATCATACTGAAAATGTGCATTCGTTGCTAAATTAGGTAGTTACCCAGTATCAGTGATGCTGTATTATTGAATGGTGGGGGTTTTTTAGATGTGAAACTAAATTTGTATTATGTTGAAGAGAAATGGAAGAAAAACTTTTGTTTCTGCTGTTAATTTTAAACAATTTTAATCTTTGACTTTTCATCAAAATCTGAAACTTTCACCACGTTGTTACTGAATTAATGTGCATCTGTTTGACTGTTTTCCACAATAATTAATTTTCATATTTAACCCCAACATAGCATTTGTTTATGGATATATTTTTGTTTTGTTGTTGGATATATTAAAAGGAAAGTACGGCTCAAATTTAATTCATTTTGTTTCATTTATAAGCAGATCTTATTTTTCTATAGTAACATATCTTTCAGCAAACCTAACAGAATCAGAAATGTGCTGGAGAACTGGAGTACGTTCAAACGTTGCACCTCAACAATGTGTAGAAACTACAACCAGAACCATCATTTAAATAGATCGTACAGCCTCTTCAAAATACTGAACTATCACTTCAATCTTCAGACGGCTGCTCAGTGTGACTGTTTATATATTTTTTAAACTTGAATGGCTGCTTACTTTACTGGGACATAGTTTCCCAGCAGAATAACAAAAGTAAAAACTCCTGTCATGGAGTGAATAATCAGCTGATGTGTGACTACATAACCTACTGAGATAAGCAGACTGTAATCATGGTTTCACTGAAATAGTTTTAGATTTATTCTCTTTAAATTTAGTATTATTTTCCATCAGGCTGTATGTTTTAAATGAGCCAGGTCCTGTCCACTTAACGATTCTGTAACATCTGTTTATGATCATGACAGGTTAAATGTTCTAGCTACAACAGATCTAAACAATAGTACCATTGTCAATCAGTGATGTTTGTTTGGCTAATTCTCATAAAGCTTACTGTAAAAGCCTTGTTTTATCTTACAAAACAAGCATGTTAAAAAAAACAGACTACAAGTCTGAGCTTCTCTGAGCTAATATCAGAACCAATCAGATTCCTTCCTTTAACCTAAAGCCAGAGTGACTTTTAAAGTTCAGGAGTTCTAGGACAGTGTTTATTTAATTTTCTTTAGTTCAACTTGAACAGAAGTCACAGTAGCGGTTTAGCTGTTGCTCGTCTTCATGTAACAGTTTCAGTGTTTATCTGCTACTCGTCACTTTTAGCCAAATCTTACATCAGCTGACCCGTTAGGACCAGATCCAGTCTCTGCAGGAATTATGGTGCTCCAGTTCAAATCCTTCGGATTTTAAACCATAAGGTCATGCTCACAATTTTTACTCTGTAAAAGTTGGGACTTCAAAAGTAACTAAGTACAGTACTTGAAATAAAACATACTCAATTATATAAAAAAGTTAAATCTGGTCCTCTGGACATTAAAAAAAAAAACAAAAAAACAAAGCAAATCAACAAAAAAGTGTCCAGAGGACCAGATTTAACTTTTTTATATTTTTCTACCTGGATTATTGAGCATGCATCAGGATACTCAATTATACATTTATTAATAAGTAAAAGTACACAAAATTAATACTCAGTTACAGCGACGAGAGTTAACTGTTATTTGCTACTTTCCTCCTGATCAAACGATGAACCAGAGTTGTGTGGACAACTGATCAGTTTAAAATTGGCTCTTTGGGCTTTGTGTTACCAGCAGCCTGTCGCAAAGGCATCATTTGTTTAATGTATTTCACGTAAAAAAAATAACATGGTTTGTCAGAAATTAGAATTTTTTGTTCCAAGAAGGTGATTAGACAGGTCAGCTGTAACCAGCAAAAACTGCAAAAGCAGTAAATGTTTTTGTCAAATAAATAAATAAATGAATCAATTAATTAAAACAAGGACTTTAATATGCGTCGTCTCGCTGTTAATGTCTGTTCCTTTCTGTTTTTCTGTAATTCAGGTGGGAAGTGATGCAGCAGAAACTGTGCTCCAGAGGTTCAGGTTCCTTCCTCTTGGAGAGGAACGGTCAGGCCTGCGGCGCCATCATAGACTCTGTCGCCTCTTGCGCTCTCCCATTCCGCTGCCCCCGCTGTGGTGAGCAGGAGTGTTTTCACAGTCTGGCATCGCTTCGCACACACCTGGAATACCGACACTCGTACCACTCACCAGACGTGACCTCTGGAGGCTTCAGCATCACGGGAAAACTCCCTGACCCACTAACTGCAGCGATCCCCTGGCAGGACATGAGCCTCCCGACCCGCAGGGGGCAGCAGAGCGCCGTCAGACCGCCTCATGTCCGCTCCCTCAGTGACAGCAGAGACGGTGGATACCTGCAGTCTTACAGCTCTGTAAGAAGGCGTACCCAGAGTGTTGGGGTGGGGACACAGGCTGAGGAGGAGGAGGATGAAGATACAGGAGATGAAGAGGAGGATGAAGATGATGATGAAGAAAGACATGGAGGTAGAGATAATCCGGACACAAAAGTCTCTGTCAGAAAGTCTGACACTTGCCACCAACATGCCAACCATCATTACCTCCTGTTCCCTGCTCCAGCTGCTCTAGACCTGAACCCAGACGAGGACCTGGACCTGGTTGGTGCGTTTGGGTTTGTGTTACTTCCAGGAGCAGAAAGTATGAAACATCTCAGTTTGTATCTTCAGTAACGCATCTCCTTCCTGTCTCCTACAGCCCAGAGCTCCTTCTCTGGAGCGGAGACGGCGGCAGCCTCAGCAGCGGTGCGTCGGCGGCTGGCCCGGATCCTGCGGGCGGCCGACAGCACCATGCAGCGTCGGCTGGCCCAGCTGAGCACCGAGCTGGCCAGAACCGACACAGAACTGCTGTGTGAGCGTGCTCACTCGCAGCATCTGGCCCAGGAGCGTCAGGAGGTGGCGGACAGGGAAAGGTCGCTGAGCCGGCAGGTGGACGTGGCCGTCATGGTGATTGCTGCACTGAAGGAGCAGCTCAACGCCTCGGAGAATGAGTTGGAGCGCAGGGAGAGGTGAGAACATCTTGATCTGCTGGAGACTCGCTACACCCATTTTATTCCTGCAATGTTTTTTTTATTTTCAGGGAGGTTTTAACCATCCAGAAGTTTCTGGAGGCAGCGGCTCGGCAGGAGACCAGCGGTAAAGTTAGGATCCAGCGTTTCATTGAGAATCTGCTGGGTCGCATCTCCCTAGCTGAGAAGCTGGTGGAGTATTACCAGGCTAACGGCAGCCCGCCACAGTGCAGCCACTACAAGGTACAACACACAGATGGGACAACTGTAGGACTCGGTTATCATTGAGTTAGGCTTTGTTGTCTTTGTTCAAGTGATTTATGTCTTTTCTCTGCCATGTTTTGTATGTGTGAAATGGGTGGAACCATAACACAGCTGTACCGTGTAAGAAGTTATACTGGGGTTTTAAAAAATAGCAACAATATTGCTTTGAATATAACCACTTAAAAAAAAAAGTGAAAATTTGTATCCTCCTTTGTAACATCACATGGACATCGGGGACAGTGCCACGGGATTGGCCCCTCTTCAGAAAGGGGGACTGGAGTGTGTGCTCCAATTACAGCGGCATCACTCTCCTTAGCCTCCCTGGTAAGGTCTATTCAGGGGTACTGGAGAAGTGAATCCGATCATTGGTCGAACCTCAGATCCAGGAGGAACAATGTGGGTTCTGTCCTGGCTGTGGAACACTGGACCAGCTCTTTACCCTCACTAGGGTCCTCGAGGGATCATGGAAGTTGACCCATCCAGTCTACATGTGTTTTGTGGATTTGAAGAAGACATTTGACCATGTTCCTTTGGTACACTGTGGGGGGTGCTCCGTGAGTATGGGATTGGAGACCCGTTGTTACGGGCTGTTCACATTGCCGGCAGTAAGTCTGACCCATTCAGGGTGGGAGTTGGACTCGACCAGGGCTGTCCATTGTCACTGATTCTGTTCATATTTTTTATGGACAGAATTTCTTGGTGCAGCCAGGGGGCGGAGGTTTCTGGTTCGGTGGCATCAGGATTCCATCTCTGCTCTTTGCAGATGATGTGGTCCTGTTGGTGTCATCGTGCCGTGATCTTCAGCTTTCACTGGAGCGGTTCACAGCCGAGTGTGAAGCGGCTGGGATGAGAATCAGCACCTCCAAATCTGAGGCCATGGTCCTCAACCGGAAAAGGGTGGATTGTTCTCTTCAGGTCGAGGATGAGGTTCTGCCTCAAGTGGAGGAGTTCAAGTGTCTCAGGGTTTTGTTCACGAGTGAGGGAAGAATGGAGCATGAGACTGACAGATGAATTGGTGCAGCGTCTGCAGTATTGCAGACTCTGTATCGGTCCGTTGTGGCGAAGAGAGAGCTGAGCTGTAAGGCAAAGCTCTTTGTTTACCGGTTGGTCTACGTTCCTACCCTCACCTATGGTCATGAGCTCTGGGTAGTGACCGAAAGAATGAGATTGCGGATACAGGCGGTTGAAATGAGTTTCCTCCGCTGTGTAGCTGGACTCTCCCTGAGAGATGGGGTGAGAAGTTCAGTTATCCAGGAGAGACTTGGAGTAGAACCGCTGCTCCTCCACATTGAAAGGAGCCAGTGGAGGTGATATGGGCATCTGATAAGGATGCCCCTGGGAGCCTGCCTAGGGAGGTGCTTTGGACATGTCCAACTGGTAGGAGACCCCGGGGAAGACCCAGGACATGCTGGAGAGACTACGTCTCTCAGATGGCCTGGGAACGCCTTGGAATCCTCTCAGAAGAGCTGGAAGAGGTGGCTGTGGAAAGAGATGTCTGGGCCTCCCTGCTCAAGATGCTGCCCCTGCGACCCGACTTAGGAATAAGCGGAAGATAATGGATGGACTTTTTGTTTTTCAGATGTGTTGTTGCTGGAAAAGACAAAATGACCCTTCTTTAAAAATATACAGTGTCTTAGTTTGAACATTCGGTATAATTGAAACATTCTACTGTGAACAAAATATGGGTTTATCCATCCATCCATTATTTTTACCTACTTCTTCCTTTTTGGGTCACGGGGTGTCATTGGTGCCCATGTCCAGCCATCATGGTGCGAGAGACAGGAGACCCGCTAGACAGGTCTCCAGTCCATCACAAGGTCAAAAATATGGCTTTATGAGATTTGCAGTGGTCCAACCTTAGAATTTATGTTGTACAGTCTTTTTCAACTCTGCTGCAAATTTATCACTCACACATGTGTAAGCTGAAGTTTTAGTTAAGACTGTGTACAGAGTGTTCACTTCCTGTCCACACGTCTTCTGCTGCCATTCCTGTCAGATTATTTTATCTGGATCTCAAAGAACTCTGAAAGTAGGATGGACATCTACAACTCGTTAACCTTTGGTGGCACCCCAATTCAAGGTTGCTGCTGCAGCCTTTAATTGACCTTAGCCAACAAAAATAGATACATTAATACAATTTTAAAGCTATTGAGGTAAAGTTTACTGTGGTAGTATCTTACAGTCACACATACAGTATACTCCAAGTACTAACAGATCCTGCAAGATTTCATGGTATCCCATGAGACTGACTGACTTATTTACTTATTTTTGTGTTGTTTTAGTTTTAGGAGTGAGTCGTGGTTATTTTGTGGTTTTGTTTGTTTTGCAGTTTGTGGTTGTCTTTGGATACTTGACCGTTTTTTTTTTTATTAGTATTTGTGTGTGTTTTATAGTTTTTATTTTATTAAAGTGATTTAGTGTTAGCTTTGACTGTTATTTTATCTTGCTCTGGTTGTTTTGCATCACTTTATGTTCAGTCCAGAGCCAATCATGTCTTTTCTGCCTACATGTGGTTACTGAGAGCTGAAATTAAAATTTACTCTCTTTTTTTGTCTTCTTTAGCAAAATGATACTGGTCTTCATCGAATCATTAAGAGCAGGTAAATCATTTTAATTAAACTGATCACAAATATTGAAAATTAAAAATATATATAAGTTTAAGGTTTTTGAGTTACGTTTTTTAAGTGATGATTGTAAGAAACATCAAAGTTCGTGCTCGTTCATCCAGGTACCAAATCCAATAATGCTCGTTCAGGTCATCTGGACAGTTTTTTTTGTAGAGACTTTTCGCCCTCTAGCCGAAGGGCTTCGTCAGTCTGAGGAGTCCCAAGTAAACTGTTCAGATGACCTGAATGAGCATTATTGGATTTGGTACCTGGATGATTGAGCATGAGCTTTGATGTCTTGAACCTCTTTGGCTGTGGCTGCTGGCCTGGGAGGAGTCGATGGGGGACAGGGCATCCCCCAGAAACCATCTTATCTCCAGCAAACTGGTTGGTCCACTTAAGGTGTTTACTGCTTGATGGGGAAACAGTTTACTTGGGACTCCTCAGACTGATGAAGCCCTCTGGATAGAGGGCGAAATGTCTCTACAAAAAAGAAACTGTCCAGATGACATGACTGAGAATTATTGGATTGTAAGAAACCTAACAAAAATGTTTCAAGTGAGAAATCCCAACAAACACAAACAAAAATGAGTCTTATTTAACTTCTTCAGCTGTTTTGAGAGAACAAATGTTTTTTGATGTTTTGTCCATGATAACAGTGTCTGTTATTCTCTAATACTGGTTCTTTTAGATTATAATCCATTGAAACGTTTGATTTGTTGGATTTTTTTGTGTGCATCAGTTCTTCTTTTCTTTTTATTTTCTTTTTTTTTTTTTGTTTAATCAATGATGGTGGAACCACTTGTGTGTTTACATACTCTTAAGATTGGATTTGAATAATTTTAGAATATGGTAAATAAATTTTATTAGGTCCAGATATGTAAATCTCTAGACGTTACTTTCTTTTTACCATGATTGATCAAATCAACCTGAAATAACAAGGTTCTGTTGTATCTTACAAATAAAATAACCACAGATGAGAGTGGGTGATGGTAACCCTGAAAATAATTTGTACTTGGACATAGAAATCTAAAGTTTGTCTTGTAGAACTCTCTTATAGGAGATAAGTTTCTACTTTATCAGATTTATTCCTGCTTCCAAGGTCTGCTGGTCTCAGATTTTGGTTGGACTTTTCTTGGTGTTTCCAGGTCAGCAGGAGGTCAACTGTTCTCCTCTGGTCTCCATGACGATAGAGCACAGTCCTCGTCCTCCTCCCAGTTTGGTCCTCAGTTTTCCAAAGGCTTGGAGCGGGAACGCCGGGAGCGTCTGGCCCAGTCGTCCAGGCTGTTCTGTCGGCCCGAACACAGAGACGGCATCTGGAACCACCAGCGGTGCCGGTCCACCGGGTACGAGGTCTAGAACTGTAGAAAAGGACTAGAGAGAGGGGAGTCAGTGTTGTTATTGAGTGGGTTTATTCCAGTGGGATAATCTGTGGAAAAGTATCAGGAATCTTGACAGAAATTCCTGTTTCCAGATTGGAATCTACATTAAATTAATTTCTTATTGAATTATATTCTTTAAAATTAGCGGCTTTGCTGCCAACTACTGCAAAAATATCCATCCATCCATTTTTTCACCTGCTTTTCCCTTTTGTGGTCATGGGGAAGCTGGAGGCTATCTCCATCAGTCACTGTGTGAGAGGCGGGGGACACCTGGACAGTTTTCTTCACAATTATTAACCATAAGCTTGCATATTTAACTCCTGTAAATTTTTATTAAAATATTGATCTAAATCCAAATAAAGATGATAAACAGGGTTTGAAACCAGAAAGCAATAAAACAACTCTGTTGTGTTGATGTGTGATTATAAAAGTTGTGTTGTGTTTTTGGTACTTTTCTGTGGAATATAAACTGGAATAAATCATAAATCAGCATGTGTTGGTGAGCAGGAATATAAACCTTTAAATCTGAGCACAAACAGAGAATGAAGTTTGAAGTGTTTTGTCTGACTGTGTTTCAGAGGTAAACGTGTTTTTGTGTTCATTCCTTTACGGTTTTCTTCCAGTCGAGGTCTGACAGCAGACCGAGCAGCTGAATGTTCAATCTGGTGACACTGGTTCTCTCCTCTGGTCAGATCTTCACACCCTGACCTGACTCCCAAGAAGCTCCTAATCGGTTATCTTTTTATGTCTGTGCTTTAGGAAACCACACAACTGTCTTAAGAACTGGACTCAAATTGAAAACAAGAAAGAAACAAAAAACAAATCCTAAACTCAAAAGATCTTTAAAAGAAAACCAGAAGGTCGGTTGTTAGTGACCAGTTCAGATTGTAAGTAAGTCTGGCTGCTTGGAAGGATTATCAGTTATAGTAGAACTGGATCATGAGGTCTTTTTTGTATATCCATCCAGTTCTCTGCTTTTTGTACAGGGTCATGGGGGAGTTGGTCACTGTGCAACAGGCGCGGTTCTCCCTGTGCAGGTAGCAAGTCCAGAACAGGAACACACATCGAAGTTCTCACTAACGTGTTTTTTGTGGGAGGAAACCTAAAGAGAATAAATTCAGTGCTTGTAACCATGTGACCAGTGATCCATGCAGCTGCGTTTGGAAAGGTGTTGGAGAGCCGTGGCTCATTTCAGTGTGCACGACTTACAAAACTGCATTCGAGGCCACGCACATTAATCTACTGCCCTCCTCTGCCCACGTCGTACCTGGCTCCAGCTGTTTGGGCAGCTGCCCCTACGTTTATGATTTAATCTGTTGACCTACACTTTAGAAATTAAGACAGGTGGGTTTTGAACCAGTTAATAATTATTTTTCATTATACAGGTGTGGTTTTTAGAACATGACAATTGTGACTGTTTGGCTGCTTTGTGTCACAGGAGAGCTCCCATGCAGGTGACAAAATAACCCTCTGGTAGTCTTTAGATCTGGTCTGAGAGCCCCATGATGACTCTGGACTGGTGTTGGACAAACATGTCTCACAGTTTTGTTTTGTTTTTCAACGCGTTGAATGTTTATGAAATGAAAGACAAGTCTGCACGCTTCTGAGACTTGTGAGGACATTGAGAACTTCTGCAGATGTTCTGTTCTGAGACATTTTGGAAGCTCCATTGCGAATGCTGTTCACCAACTAGTCAGCAACAGTCACATCTCAAAGAGATCCTGCCTTTAGGTGGGGAGTTAAAGTAGGGCTGCTGCTCCTCCCCATTAGAAGGAGTCAGCTGAGGTGATTTGGACTTCTGATTAGGATACTACCTGGATACCTCCCTCTGGGTGTTTTCTGATTCAGTACTGGGAGGAGACCCTGGGGCCCTTGCTTTCCTTCCTGGACCTGTTGCATCCTTGATCTGACCACAGAAAAGAAAAAAACGTATAGATGAGCAGACAATACCAAAATTTTGTGTAGTTTAAACTCTTTAAACCATTTAAATCTAGTTACATTTGTATTTCCTTCAGTTTTGTAAAGCACAGGTGGCAGATGAATGACATCAGACCTGGGCCAAACACATCCTGCATGTCAAACAGGCTGAAGAATGCAGACCTGTTGGGTTCACATGCACTAAAACACTGCAGCTGCTGGGATGACGTTTTCTGTTGTCTCGTATCATTTCTCCACTTCCATGTCACTTCCATGCAGATGTCATTAACCCAACTCTGCAACGTCACTTCTGTTACAGAATCAGTCATTTACTGCGTCTTTACTTGTGTGGGATCTTTTACCAAACTGCTGTTAGAGCAGATCACACCAGAGATATAAGGCAGAGGGAAGACTTGTTGCTTTAGTTTTTTCAAGGGATCCCCGATTACTTGCACATGTTGGCCTTGTTGTTTGTGGCACATGAAAACTCCTAATTACTTTAAAAAACTACATTTATTACATTTGTCACCGTTATGTTGCAGGCGCAATGCATTGTGGGGCAATGACATAAACAGGTTGCAGTCGAGACTGAAATACCAAGAGTTAATGCTAAAATGTTATAATGCATGACAATAACATTATATTCTGTATTAATCCATATGCTGTTATGCACAATATATGGGTCAAAAGGGCCAAAAGTGATCAACTTGTGGTCAGTTTATTATCTTTGGAGCTATTATCATTTATATTAGCTCTGAAGCTAACAATATTAGCTCTGGAGAAAGCTAAATGGCTAAAGCGGAGACATTCCAGCTCTGCTGTTCTCCATCTGCGGGGCAGCACCAGACAGTTGTCACATGTGTGCATTCCTGGGGATTAATATGTACTTGTGTGCTGAGCATTGGTGTTTATTGCTCTGTGGTCTGGAATGAAGTTTGGCTTTAGATTGGCGCCTGCACCCCACAACCCAAATTAGGACAAGCTAATGGATGAATGTGTAATGTGAAAACCTTTATTATTTACAGCGTGTAACTATTCTAATGCACATGATATGTTTTGATCCCGATTCATTCAACCTTTATTTAAACAGATAAATCACATTGAGCCTCCAAGACTCATTGGAGAGAGAGACCTGTTTGGACAGACAATAAGTGGTGAAAATGACAACTTAGGTTTTGGAGGGAAAAAAAATCCTAACATGCTCTTAATCTTTGGCTGAAGATTAAAAGCATGAAAATGAAAAAAACCTTGCACACAAGTACATAATGACGCTGACATTCCGCGGGGTGGATGCAAGGGCAGTGAGCAGTCCAGAGGCAACACACAGAGGCATTGCAAGAGTTCAGAAAAGAGTGGTAAATCGCTCAGTTCACAAAGTTCCCTCTGGAGAGATCCGTAAACACTCTTGGGGGGTGCAGAGGACGGCCAAGGACGACATCAGATAGAATCCAAAGAGTCCTGAAATTATGACAGAATGTTTATTCAACTGGATCCTTCTGATTGGTTCGTAGACTTTCTTGGTGAGAGAGGAGGGGAGGGGCTTCAAGATTTACAGAGCTTCCAGGCGAATTAAGATAAGGTGGCCTGTCAAGGCCAGTCAGGGAGCCGAATTCAGATAAACACAATTGTTTTGGGGACAGACAGAACTTTAATGACATTTACCTTGAGTCTGTGTCGGTCCTCTCGGTTCCGAAACGTCCAAATTAAATGGCCACACCACTGGCCTGAAGAGTATTCCCTGAGATCTGATCCATTCTGCCAAAAGCAATTGAGTCTGGGTGCTCGAGGCACAAACCAACCATAAGGCAAGCAACCTGATTGGGTCCAAATTTGCTGCGACGACTTCCTTGTTTGTTGATAGATCAGGAACCAGCCGAATCCAAAAAGCAGGAAACCAGTTATCATAAATCCAATCATATATGCGTCCTTAACGTCCACAATTGACAGCAGAGATAGACACATCATCAAGTCTTCCAAGTCAATGAGATGTCCAACTGCATGCGTGCCAACAGGGCAGATCGGCTCACCTAAAGCCTGTCTTCGCTTCAAAGAAGTGTTATCAATTGTGTTGAGGGACCAACTGACCAAATCCATAGCAGAATTATGATTCAGAAGATTTGTAGAAGTGAGGCACTAAGCGGTTACAGAGACAGGACAGAGCAAAGCAAAGCAGAGAGGGAGAGGAGGGGAAAGGCGTCCGCCCTTGACGAGAGCAAATGTTGAATGCTTGGATGAAATCGATTCTTGTTGTGACCAGCTTGTGATAAAAAAGCGGAGCTGTTTTCAGTATCAACTCTGTCTTTGAGTTAGCTTTAGCAAGCAGCAGCACAAACAGCAGCTTTTTAGTCCCACACGCTCTCTTCATCCATTCAGTCTTCCTCGTGTTCAGTGGCAGACTGAGTCATTTTAGCTTTCTCCTTTCTGTCAGTGCGCTTCAGTTCAAATTAAAGGTCGGACCGTTACACAATGCCCAACATTAACACTCAAGCTGGATGGAGCTGACACTGGAGCAACCAAGTCATTTACCCTGAACGCATTGCAGCATAACTAACATGTCCATGTGACATTAATTTAAATATATTAAAACTTAAACAGCCTACATTGTCTTTATGGTCTGGTTTTTATAAGTGAAGTAAATGTTAACAAATAAGGTTTATTGTTCCAACTAGTTACGGCTCCCTTTAAAGATTATCTGTTTCTTTTGGATTTACTGTCCAAGCCAAAGTGCTGAGGTTCAGGAGGTTTAGCCAGCAAATAAAAATATCTTCAAACAGTAGCTGTCATGACCTGTTTAAGACCGAGACTGCCCTGTTGATGCACACAGAAGTGCCAAATTTAGATGAAAAGGTTGCTGAAAATAATTGCTAATGCTTTCTTCTGCTGCGTATAAATCTGTCAGTGTCAGTTTATTTATAAAGCACATTTATAACCACAAATTGGATAGTGCTGTTCAATAACGGATGTAAACTAAAAATGACAGAACAACCAGCTCGTTTAAATAAAATGATTTCGGTCTTGTTTTGATTCAGGTTCAGAAAGTTTACAGTCATCTGTGTCTTTATTGTCCGAAACATTCAACAGAGGTGAAGTTTTAGATTAAAACATTAAGAACAGATTTA